CCCACTGGTACTTAGGGGCTGCACCGAGGCGCTGCAAACCTTCTCCTCCCCTGTAGTCACAGCCAAGCTGCTCCTCACGCCCTGCCCGCACTTTACTGCGACCAAAGGTGGCTGGGGATGGAGTCGGTTCGTGCCCACATCTGCTCTCACACGAGGTGACCCCATCACTAATGAGCTCACCTGTGTGTCGTGGCTGTGGCTGGCACCGCGCACACAGAGCCAACCAGGATGGGCTTTTGGCATTGGTAACTTTGTCCGCTGGACTTGGTTGACCACAGAAAACCAGAAACACCAAGCTGTGGATCTGGGCTTTGTGTTCAGACAGAAGGAGGACTGGTTTCCTTCGCTGAGATGGGCTTGTGGGTTTATCCTCTCTGACCAGAACAGAAGGCATTTATTCCTCAGTCCCCCCTGCTCTATGAACGTAGGGGAGCACCAAATGGGACACTCAAACCAAAAGATATTGGCATAAATTTGTACACAGAGGTTTTATCTGTGCTCGTGCTCATGTCCCAGATACAGCTCCACTTACACATCTGCTTCTGTGAGAGAAAGCAGTGGGCAATGATTGCCAGGCACACATAACAACTACGTGCTTAGGTGCTTTGTACGCTATGTGGAAATGAACGGACATTGAAGGACAAATTCTGGTGAATCATCTTCCCCATCCCCACAAGAGAAAGGAAACTTGAAATATACTTATTTTATTCTAAACTTTGAAATAATTTCAATATTGAAATTAAAAAAACCCCTCAAATAAACCAAATAACAAACCCTGACAAATCCACCCCATCAAACAGATCTGAATTGTGATGCGAAATACCTGGAAAAGACTTCTGCTGGTTTCTTCCGTAGCTTCGTGTTACCACAGAGCCAACGATTAATCAAGGGATACGCGGTTACTTGTGGTGCTCGCAGCCTGGGTACACCCTGGACACTGCGGTGCACCACGGGAGCTGTTTTTCGAGGCACGGAGGGGAAAATGGGAACACCTGTAACTGTGACAGAGGGTGTCACACGGTGTACCACGGTGGTACCAGCAGGGTGTGGATTTGGATGGGAACCACGGTGGTATGCTACAGGGTGTAGATTTGGATGGGTACCACGGTGGTACCTGTGGGGTGTAGGTTTGGATGAGTACGACGATGGTACCTGTGGGGTGTAAATTTGGATGGGTACCATGGTGGTACCAGCAGGGTGTAAATTTGGAGAGGTACCATGGTGGGAGCTTGAGGGGTGTGAACTTGGATGGGAACCATGGTGGTACCCTACAGGGTGTAAATTTGGATGAGTACATGGTGGTACCTGTAGGGTGTGAATTTGGACGGGTATCAGGGTGGTACCCATGGGGTCTCCTGCCCACGTGTCTGCTCTCCGCTGCCCTTTCCTTTCGCTCACCCATCCTCAATACGCCCATAGCAATGCACTCGTTAAAATAAACAGTGATTTAATTCTGGGTTTAACGTCTACCTTAGTGCAGCAGTTTCCAGTGTTACAAGGACATTACGGGTCCGTTAAGCAAAGCAAAATAAGCTTTATCCTGGACGTCAGTGTCGCCGCAGCGTTACCCGAGAAGGCACAGCCCCTACACGTCCCCAGCTCTGCTGCGATCCGTGTTCCAGCGCAGCGTCACACGTGGATCAGACACGGCTCGTTGTAAACGGACAGCTATGTACAAAACTATGGTACAGCCTTGGGACAGACCCGGGGAGATAAAGCTCTGAATTCGGAAAACACAATACTGCACATTCCCTGTTTTAAAGCAAAGCCAGCATGGATCCAAACCTCCCGCAGCTTCAACACAAAGGCTTCGAGGGCAGGGAGCTGACAGCGGCAAACCCAGAGGTTTCCTAAGTTTGGGGCTGAAAAACACGACCCCCAGAGCGGTGGGAAAACCTCCAGCAACAGCAGCGGGGCCCGGCTCCCCAAAACTCAACGGATGCACCCGCGCACGTGAGAGGGCTGCAGGTGCTGTCGTGCTTCGCCCCAATTGCACATAGGTGTCGTGCAGGAGCCAGACACTGCTTATTTGGCCGTATGTTTGCTAAAACGCACTTCTTTATCTTTACTTTCTCCCCCATAACCGATTTCCCCTGCTTTAAGCGACTGACGTAAAAGCCCATGCGTCTGATGCGGGTCTGGGCCATTGGTGGTGATAAGAGGCAGCCTCACGCTGCTGCCGTGACGGTGCTGCCTCTGCTGAATTCACACCCCAAATTTGGCTGAGGTGCTGCTGTTTGGGATGGCTCTGAGGGCAAACACCTCTTTCGAGCCCACAACGGCTTCGGTTCAGGCTTGTCAAGAGCTGAGAGGCGCCCAGGACGGCGCACGAGGTCTGACCCCTCCACGTCACCGTGCACAGAACCGGCTCCGTCCCCCCCCGGGGGTGCCAAAGGCTCTGGGGGCTCCTGGGGTCCTGGCGAGGGGAGCGAAAGGCTGCGTGGGGGGAGCGGTGAGGACACCACGGTGGCATTTCGGCAACGCAGGGTGAGGTGGGCAGCGCTTTGGGGACGTGAGCTGTTCGCTGGGCCCTGTTATTCCTGCT